GCAGGGGTCAACTGAACAACAGTAGTGGTAGTCTTGCCTTGGTCATCTCTCGACTCATCTCCCTCACCCCCGTCACCCATGTCTAACATTATTCCCCCTCCTCTCATCTCTATATCCTTTAAAATGTCAAGGCAGTTAAAAGATGCGAAAGGGGTAATAAATGTGATCTGGGGGAAGGTTGAGACTCAGGAGGGAACAAAGCCAGATGACAGTCGAAGCCTACCTTGAAGGCTAATGACACTTCCACTTTACCTAGAGGCCAATGCAGTATTTTCCACAATCTCCACCCTATAAGTCTCTGACTCCAAAAAGTAAGACGAGCTTCTAAGGATCGAATGGTGTCCAGAGATGCCTCCTCTTTGAGATTGAGCTTTAGATTCTGGGCAGCCAAGCAATTTGATTGAGCATATTCCTAAGCATCTAGTCTTGCACATTTCTCACCCTCAACCTCTTCCGCTAGATATTTTATTTGGCCATCCCGCTCGATGATCTTGTGTTGATAATGGTCAATCTCCTCCTTTAGCTTATCAATGATGGCCGATTGCTTGATGCGGTTCCCCTAGAGTCCCTTGATCATGCTTTCCCTCATCTCCAACTCCCGATGCCATTTGCCTTCATTACGGCTCCAAGCCTCCCATTCAGTCTCCAAAGCAGCGACTTTCCTCTCGGGCACTTCCGTTGCCATTCTCTTGTCCTTCAGTGCCTTCTCGAAGTTAGCATGGAGTCTCTGTGCATAGTCAAGTTGAGAGAATAGCTATTGATCGATTAAATCCCCCTGAAGCAAGTAGCCCTTAAGGGCTTAATGGAGGCTGACGCTAGGAAGCTCCCCACAGAGCTTCTTATCCTTAGGGTGGGAGAATTTCTCCAACGCTTGAGACTGAGCCATCCGAGACTCCAGGAATGAGCTCTCCTTATCAAGCGTCTTCCTGGGGATGAACTTGTCATCCTCAGAAAGTTCCTCTCTATGCATGAAGCCTTCTCTTGACACGCTAATCATTGTATCCCTAAGCTCCCCCACACCTAGGGTCAAGCTCATTGATGTGATGGCAGAAAGGCCATTGGAAGCTACCTCCTAGGACCGAAGCTACATTAACCCTCAGTAGCTCATCAACTACTTAGGGCTGGGCTGCCTCCTCGGTGGCTGCACCCAATGCCTCGACATGCTCCTTGCTGGGCATATGGGTAGGCTCAGACAAAGAGGTCGGAGCTGTTGACTCCTCTACTCGGCTTTCAACCTCAATAGGCTCAGCCAATTCTTCTTCCCCCCGCTGGCCGAGTGGGTGAAGCCTCATCTAAGATAACTACGTTAGTCAGCTTGGAGAGAGGGATGTCTGGAGGTGGGCCATCCTTGAGACTCGAAGCAGAAACATCTGCCTTTGCTGCTTTGGCCGAGTCAACTTGAGCCAAGTTGGCTATCCCTTGGACTCTCGGCCTCTACTCAATCTCCTCCTCCTATTGTCGGACTTGTCAGCCTGAGTGGTGGCACTCGACCTTGCCAACCAATTCGTAAATTTGGTAGTCTTTGCTGCCACCATCTTCAACTCTTCAAGGTCTAGCTCCCTCCTTAACCGCTTTTGAGGCCTCATAGTCGAGCCCCACTTTGCCGTGGCTGGATCCTCCCCCTCCAAATTCTTCAATGCATTCAGGAGGTGAGCTAAGACCAACACCCAAATGGTATCGACTTCAGTAGAAGGAACCCTAGATATGCCGACCACTCGAAGAGAAGCCGACTCGAAGAGATTAATAATATCTTGGGACCGAGCATGAGCATCTTCTCAAGTTTCCACCTCTCCCCAGCTGAGAGTAGGCTTGGCTTCAACACGTCCTTCCTGATCTTCGATCAAGCTAGACAAGCTAAGAGGGGGTCGGCTCCAAAGACCTACATGAACTTCTCCTTCAAATCCCTGTTCGAATCAGGGATGTTCAATACGAGCTTGGAGCTGCCCACATTTTGGAAGAGGTGGTGCCCCTCCTTCTTCGTGGTCTTGACATTGACGAAATGGATGAACAGACGCAGACTCGGTTCGACCACCCAGTGATAGATAATCGTGAACCCCACTAGTGTAGCAGTGGAGTTGGGCACAATCTGTACAGGGGATACCCCTAGAGCCTCACATACCTGGTGGATGAAGGTGTGGAGGGGTAGCCGGAGCCCATACTCCAAGAGCTTTAAGTAAATGGGAATTCTATCATTGCCATGGTGATACACTAATTCAGTCATATCTGGCACTAACAAGGTAAAAGACTTCGGGAGATCGAAACGCTCATAATAAACTTTGAGCTCCATTGATCAGAGCTTGGAATGGAAGGGACAGAGGAGATCGATCCTTATCTCATTGCAAATAGTAGCAGAGACATTGTAGGCCATTGTAGATGTCAGAATTTAGCACAGACTCACTTGAAATAGAAGAAATCAAGAACAAGAAGATAAGGCAAAAGTTGTAAAGAAAATCTCATTCGCCAATGAAGTATAGTATATCAATATATATATATATATATATATATACCCCTATACCCTATATATTATATATATAATATAATATTATGATATATGGAAAGTGATTCTAAGCCGTTTGACACCCTAGATTCCCACCTAAGGACGCCGGCTCTTAAAATCACATCATTCTCCTAATTTGTTCTTATCCCGCATCCGCTCCATTGCTATTTGATCTACATGTTCTTAAACCCAAAACACCGCATTAATTTTGCGGGTGAACCCGGTCGTGTTTTGACCCTTCGCCTTGAGCGCTGCAAAAAATTCCCTATTCATTCGAAACGTATAAAATCTGCGGCGAGGGTGCGATACAGGGTCAAAAAACACGAACGAGCGTTCACCCCAAAATTTTAGCCACGGGAATTGATGTGCACATGTTCTGTTTCAGCGTTAATTAACGTGTTAGATCACCCAAGTTTAACAGAGCGCGCATAAAAAAAAACAATTAGGGAATGATGTGATTTAGGCCCGTCCTTAGGTGGGAATCTAAGGTGTCACCTGATAGAATCACTCTTTCCCATTATATATATTAGTATGTCCTATAATAATAATATATTATTATTATAATATATATATCTAGTATATGAGAAAACTGGCGCAAGCGCTGCCCGCCACCGCTCCCCCAGCGTGCCCGCTGCCAGGGTCCTTTGCTTGAAAAAAATACACGATCTTAACCCCCCCAAACCCGTGGCCCTAAATCTCTCTCTCTCTAAAAAAAGCGATCTCTCTCTCTCTCTTTCTCTCTCCAAAAGATCTCTCTCTCTCTCTCTCTCTCTCTCCAAGAAGCGATCTTGTCGTCGAACTCCTCCAGGTCCTTCAACCCTCCTCCTCCACGATCTTGCCGTCGAGCTCCATCTCCGCCTTCACCCTCCTCCTCCGCGATCTCGCCGTCGAGCTCCTCCTCCTCCTTCACCCCTCCTCCTCCGCGATCTCACCGTCGACCTCCTCCTCCGCCTTCACCCCTCCTCCTCCGCGATCTCGCTGTGAACCTCCTCCTCCGCCTTTCTCTCGAGCTCTCTCTCTCTCTCTCCCTCTCTTGATCCGCGAGCGCAGGTAAAATTTCTCCTTATTTTTTCCATATGTAATTGTGGGAAAATTACATTCAGGTCATTAGTCATACATCTTGAACATGAAAATAATCATGGTTTACCTCAATGGGAGCTTTTCATATGGCATGATTAATGTCAGTACTCTTTGGAGGTAATAAGTATCCATAGCATTTTATTAGATATGAATCACGGAAGATAATTGGTAGTATATATATGGGGGAAGACACTAATTATTAATGTTAGTACTTTTTTGGCACCTCTGATTTTGTGAATTGGGCTTAAACAAGCTGATCTCTTGGTCAACATATCTCTTGTATGTTCGCAAGTTATTTAGATTAATTGGATAATGTAAGCTTTTCTGGGAATAAATTCCTGTTCATAGTTGCTAATGACTTCATGTTCATAGTTGCCACTGGAGATGCTCATTCTGAAAGTGCTGTTGGCATATAAAAACTTGCCAAGGTAAACTTAATATTTTTTTTCATATGTAGCATTCATGTAAAGTTTTTGTTGAACTTCATAAGATCATTTAATCACACGTCTACACAAACAATCTTGCACTAATTTGGTGAAAATATTCTTACATCATACTGAATAGAACTAATTTGTTGAATATATTTGTCATGAAATTTGCAGCTAGGCCATGGGAGAAGAGCAATCTTGGGAGAAGAAGAAGAGGAAACAGAGTTTCTGTCCACATTTATTTCTCTCGAGTTATATTTGTTCTTTTCTCTCGAGTGGGGGATGTCTGCAATTATTTGGAAATTGTTGATATGTACAACCTACTGAACTATAAGTGTCCTCTCTTGTTTCTGCTGTATCTTTGCCTGAAACGAAGCCGTGTATCTTTCTGCCTTCTATCTAAGAAATATGTCTTTGGTTTGCTGGTTTCTGAGAGCAAGTGTTTCGGATTTTTCTTTTTTATTGGCGAAATAATATCTTGGAGTTTCGGTATAAGCTTCTTAAAGAGAAGAATGTAAGGTGTAGTTTGGTTGGGATGCTTGATTGTAACAAGAGGAAATTCTTCCTTAAATATGGGGTTTGTTGATTGTCAATTTTGTTTAGAATTCTGTAGTAGATTTGAACATTTTGATGAGTAAGAGTTTGAGCATGTTTCCTTTGTGTCAGGAACAAATAGTTGAATCATATTTTTGTGTGTTATCATTGTAGTAGATTCGATTTCCACCGATACAAACACCAAAATTGTGGAAAATCAGGCAAAACAAAAAGCAAAGAAGCTCTCTTCATAATGTTATTCAGACAGTAGCTACTGGAGCATCATTTCATTCAACGCAATGATATACCAAATAATTGCTTGGCATAAGAGTCAATAATGTCTACTGATACACATTTTGCAATCATAATGATTATAAACTTGGACATATCTCAACATAACATATATTCAATTTCATACAACGCAATGATATACCAAATAATTGCTTGGCAGAAGAGTCAACAATGTCTACTGATACACATTTTGCAATCATAATGATTATAAACTTGGACATATCTCAACATAACATATATTCAATGCCTACACAGGAATTCAAGAGTTAATGCATCCTTTAGGCCTCCTTATGTATGAAAAAGGCCAGTTTACAAACAGTAACTAAAGAGTTAATACGTAAGACCAGTTTACAATCACTTCCAGTAAATGCATTGGATGTGCCCACATATTTATCAATGTAAATGCATTGGATGTGCCTCTGTTTCCTCTTCTTCTCCCAAGATTGCTCTTTTTCTTCTCCACAACTTGGCCTAGCTGCAAATTTCATGACAAATATATTCACCAAATTAGTGTTATGACGTTTCATGATGTAAGAATATATTTACCAAATTAGTGCAAAATTGTCTATGTAGGCATGGATACAGAGTGAGTAATATACAAAGTAAAAATTAAACATCAGCTACACAAAAAGCTACTTTTGACAAAAAAATATTAATTGTACATATATATGTGATACAGAATGTGATACAGAATGTTACACTTATGGGAATTCTGTTGTGCAGGTTTTTCCCAAGAAAATTAGAGTTACATATATATATATAGAAGACTGTAACAGCCTGAGTCATGCATTTAATTAGAAAAAAGTTTAACATAAAGTAGAAAGGGCAAATACTTGCATGACATATCCGGGGCGGCCATCAGGCAATATCATTGGAACCATTGCAACTCCTGGGTTTCCATATACCATAGGCTGAAAAGCAAGCAACAAAATCAATTTGAAGGGGGAAAGAGAAAATAGATGTCAGAGTATTCCTTTCCATTTTAGAATATTTAAATATTTTAAGAATGCTCACGTTTCACTCAGTTTCAAGTTTCCTGTTGGTCTGTCATGATTTAGGACTTTTGAGAATCTAATATCAGCCGTGATTAACAATAAGATTAGAACAATGATGGCAACCATCTGGCTGATTTGGAAAGAGCAGAACCAACGAAAACTCATCAATGGAGTAGTTGCTCTAACATAAATCATCTAGTACTTAACGAAAGATGGTAAATTTGATGTACACCTTCTGATAGAGTGAGTATATTTTCATGGTTTCTTGTATACCTCTAATATCAAGCTATATCTTCGCAAACATCCTATGCGATCTTCTCTTTCTTCTAACAAAATGGGTTAATGGGGGCCTTTTCACCCTGAAGAACAAAATCAACAAACAACAGAGGATGCATCATTTATTTATAGAAACGATTCTTATTACCTGTTGATAAGCTGCACGCAGAGTGCTATAAGTACCTCCAATCAGGCCATACCCTAATGGATAATTTGGTAATAGAGGTCCTTTTAGTGTGTTTGATCCTTTTAGTGTGTCCAATCAGGCCATATCCCAATTGTAATTTTACTTTACTTCTTGTTTCAAAACAAAAACAAGACTACCACTGGATGCTAATTTTACTTTACTTCTTGTTTAATTTCTTGAAAAAGATGGTACCTTGCAATTGGGAGATGCATGCTTTTCTAAAGCTGGAGCAAAAAGGAAAAATAAGGAAAAATTTTAATCTCCCATTTCTTTAAGATCAAGTGCTATAGTGAAATCAACATAGTTCATTGCCACAGGCAGAATTACAATCCCCTGATTTCCTTACTCTTTTGTAACGCTCATACTTTTCTAAAGCTAGAGCAAAAATTCCTTGGAATTGGGAGCCGTATGCTTTTTAAAAAGGAAAAATAAGGAAAGATTTTACCTGCGCTCGCTGATTGAGAGAGGGATCCAGAGAGAGAGCTCGAGAGAAAGGCGGAGGAGGAGCTCGACGGCGAGATCACGGAGGAGGGGTGAAGGCGGAGGAGGAGGTCGACGGCGAGATCACGGAGGAGGAGGGGTGAAGGCGGAGGTGGAGCTCGACGGAGAGATCGCGGAGGAGGAGGGCTGAAGGACCTGGAGGAGTTCGACGATGAGATCACTTCTTGGAGAGAGAAAGAGAGAGAGAGATCTTCTTGGAGAGAGAAAGAGAGAGAGAGATCGCTTTTCTTTTTCAAAGAGAGAGATTTAGGGGCCACCGGCTTGGGGGGTTAAGATCGTGTATTTTTTTCACAAAGGACCCTGCAGAACAAAAAAGAATGGATGAGATCAACCTCGAAATCCGAATAGGCCTTACAAAATGAAGCGCCGCCCTTGACACAACAAGTCACTGTGCTTAAAAATCAAAGCGAGAACGATGCATGACCCTCGATGACTTGAAAAGGCCTTTCCAACATCAACCCATTACTTTCCTCATAAATGCTCCTTAGAACTCACAAACTAATGACTATTCAAACCTCTACTGGGGCCCTACCCATCAGATAAGAGCGGCCGACTAGTGGACTGACAACTCACGTGATCAACTAAAAACATGATGTTAGTTGACTAAAAACTCGATCGACTGGAATGCTTACTTTTGTCCAGTCAAGTCATCATTATCATTGGAAAATGTTCACTGAGCCTGTTCAAACAAGCTCTTCCTAGCTTATGTATGCTTGGAATTTGATGATTGGGTGGCTTCCAATCGAGGACACTTAAGATTAAAATATAAAGCACTAGACCTCATCATCCTTTTCATAAGCCTAAGGCATATAATACTAGCCCATGAGATTGTTAAACACAGTCTGGACAAAGGAAAATTGACCTGACAATTTGACTAAAAAATCAAGTCATCTCGATCTATAGAACTCAAAGCATAGTTCCAACATAAAGAACATAAGAGATAAAAATATCATTATTCATATATTTCAAAATGTTTGCAACATGATTTACAAGCACAAAGTACCATATGAAGATACAAGAGTCCTAGGAGGCTAAATCAAAAAACTAGGGTGTATTAACCCCCCACTAAGAGTCAGAGGCAAAGAAACATTAACTGTAGGCGATGAAGGAGTCGACTGGACCTTCAACTCATCCCCCTCACTCACCTTCTTCCTTGACAAACTTGCCCAGCTATCTTTAGCCAAATCCTCGCCAACTTCCTTAACCAATCCTTTATTTTCCTCTCCAGTTTCCTCAGCAGAGCCCTCGTCGACCTCATCATCTAATTCACCACTGGCAGCGCTTCTTCCAAAATTTAGCCCACCACCATATTTCTCTATCTCTAAGAATATATTCAAAATAGTTGGCAACCCATGGAGGATAGAGAAAACATTCAGGTGCACTCTTCAACTTAGCTGCGAGTTGCACTAAGAGATAGTCATATCCAGCCTTACATGTCATCATCACTTCTACCTTTTTGAGGATGCTATGATGATGTCCCTCAATGATTTCCAATCGATGGGTCTCGGAATCCATGTGAGTGATGCGGCTTTGAATCTTGACTAAGGATGACTCACGTTGAGCACTCACCTCCTGAAGTTTCTTGTGAGCCAACCGCTCCTCTTCCAGCTCAACCTTCAGGTGCTGGGTAGCATGGCAACCAGACTTAGTCTGCTCTATGGCACGATCCCTCTCTCACCTCCCTTGCGATACTCCTCAGATAAATACCTTATCCTCTTGTTTTGCTCATGGACTTTGTGCTTGAGCTTATTGATCTCGGCAGATTTCTGGCTAACTAAAGCCTTTAAGCTTTCGATCATGCTCTCTCGTACCTCTTCCCTATGCCAATCACCTAATTCATTCTCCTTGGTCAACAATGACTGAAGAGCATTTTCCAGATCGGTCTTCTAAGTGGTCGTCTCCTCCTGAAGCTTGAGGTAGGAAGCTCAGACTCGCTCTATTAGGCAAAATATCTCCTATTCCATAAGAGCCCCATGAACCAGATAGCTCCTGAGGCTCAGATGAAGACTAACATCTGGGACTTCCCCTATAATCTCTTCATCGCTGGGAAGCCAAAACTGCTCCACCACTTTCAATTGAGCAAGCCGAGACTTAAGCACTGATGCCCTTGAGTTAAGATGGTGAGTAGGCTAGTGTCTATGCTCTAGGGTTGGCTCCTTTTCATATCGAGGGCCAGCTTTGGAGGATCCTATCAGTAGCATCCTCAATCTATTCCATGTCTTAGACTCGATTTCGTCCACACGGTGAGGATACGACCATCCATATACCTCGAAAGGAGACACCCCCTCTGTGGTGGGCTCTTTCCTCTGGCGGTGGGTTAAATCAGCGAGGGCATTTGGGGACCTTTCGCCCCCTGTTTGGACCTCTATCTCCACAAGGATGTCACCTCCCTATAGAGTCTCGGTTGTAGACAGTCAAAATATATTTTCATTGAGGATCCAAGAAGTGAACGCCCATGGGCTAAACACTTCGAGTGGGCCCAAAATAAAGCCCACAACTAGCTACAGCGAAGATCACCTAATGATTGAAGTGAACCTCACCAAACAACTCATATTGACCTAACCAAGTCAGACATGAGTCAACCCCTGCAACACGCTACACATCAAGCTGAAAGAAATCATCAGTCGTTCAACCTAGAGTCAAATTCTGAGCTAAATTTGAACTCGTAGGCAAACTTTGCCAACTAGCGAAGTTTTCTAACGAGCAAACTTCGCCCACATGGACTAAGTCACCCATGTCCGAAGCGACCTTTGCTCATGATCAAAGTGACCTTCGCCCATGTCTTCATCGAACTTCGCCCAGCTCGTGAAATTCACCCAAATAGCCATTTCAGAGCTATTTTCGGGGGATAATCACTCCCCACTAACTCCTACTTTAATAGCCACTTTATCCACAATTAAGGAGACTATTAACTCTCACTTTTAGCCTATAAAAGGAGAGGAAATCATCTACAACACATGAGAGACACACAGAGAGATATACACACAAACGCAGACATAGAGATATATACGCGCGGAAGTATACATTTACTATTCTATTGAAAAGTATTGCTAAGAGAAGACTGAGCTAGCTTCCAAGCAATTCGATTCTCATCAACAGCAAAAAGACCCATCGTCTTAGTCGGCGAGTCAACAGAGTATAAGATCGACGCTCCACCGGCACACGGAAAAGAACCCCACGAAATTTTTTTTCCTTTATTTCATTATATTTTCTTTTGTTTTAATATATGTCAATTATTCAAAAGAACCTAAAACATGATGGTGATTCTGCTAGGGACTTCATTCTCCTCCGATGAGATGATTGTGTCGCACGCTGACACTATGACCCTCGGGCTTTTGCTAAAATGCTGGTCATTGAATTTGATCAAGCGAAATTTGAGGAATCAATTTCTAAAAATAAAATCTCTGCGATGAAAACTATACGTAGTTGTCACAAAATTCATCGTAGTGCAAATCTCAGGTCTAAAATGACCCCCGTGTGTGGAAAGCCCACCATCACTGAAGATAGTTCAGGCTGTGCTGGAAGCCAAACGAACTTCAATCAAGATATTATTGAAATTACCTTTGGAGGGGGGGTTAAATAGGGTAAATGCTAATCTAATCTAATTTAATGCCAAATTAAAACTTAGAATTAACAATTTATTCTTGCAAGTATGATATTCAACAAGATATGAACAAAGATATATAAACAAAAGGCGATATAAATATGAACACACAAATAAGATAGATAGTGCATAAATTGACAAATGTAAACATAAGACAAATGATCACGGAGTTCGGTCGACCCACAACCTATGTCTTTGCTCATCACCCTCGAGTAGAATCTTCACTATCTCAACACAAACGTTTATAACACACAATTGTAATCACACAATACACCCTCTAAGTATTGTAGGTTGTCTAAACTGTAGATAACTGATCCCCATCAAACACCGATGATGGAAGTTATAATTTGACGGCTTTCAGAAGGCTACAATTTTAAGACTTTCACGTAGATCGATGAATGTTATAATCTGACGACCTTCACAACAACTGATGAAAGCTCTAATCAACAGCATTCATAATCAACATCAGGAATTATAATTTGACGACTCTCATATTTTCAAAGAGCCAAGATGAAGATTACAAGATGACAGTTTTTAGCAACGCTCTAGCAAAAGAGACTACAAATTCACGATCTCTTCAAATCCAGATGCAGAGCTCACCTTTGCGTCCCAGATTCAAAATGCAGAGCTCGTCTCTGCATCCCAGAGTCATAATACAGAGTTCATGGACTCAAAACACAGAGTTCACGCAGAGCCCAACTCTATGTCCTAGGTCCAAAACGTGGAGTTTATGTAGAGTCAAACTTTGCGTCCCAGGTCCAAAACACAGAGTTCATGCAGAACCCAACTCTGCGTCCCAGGTCCAAAACATGGAGTTCACGCAGAGCCTAACTTTACGTCCCAGGTCCAAAATGCAAAGTTCATACAGAGCCTAACTCTGCATTTCAGAGTTCACAACGCTATGCGAACACGGCGTTTTTGGTCTTAAATATGCCCAACTCTGCATTTCAGTTCTAAAACGCAGAGTTCGAGCCCAGAATGCCAGTTTCGGTGTTTGACTAGTTCAAACACGAGTTGAACGGTTTCAAAAACCATTTTCTCCCTACGATTTGAGGGGATCACCACCTTATCATGGAGAGATTTATGGGGGTAGATTACACCCTATTAGACCCTCATTAAGGAGAGATTTAAGGGGGCGGTTACACCCCTAAATACTCTATAAATACCTCAAAACTCAGAAGAGTTCGGGATCTTTTTTTGGCATATCAAGATCGGAGACCATTGAGCGGTTTCTGGCATAAAATCGCAAAGGGGGAGATCGACATTCATCCTTCAGTGACGTTTAACAATAGGGAGCTTTCATCATTGTCTATTAACCGATTTTTGGTTCAAATTAACTCTTTTTCAAGAGTTTAAACTCGCTCTGAGTTATCAACTTGTTCAAAGTTTCAAACTTGCCACACAAGTTACCCTCGACATCAATCAAGAGGATTCAACCATGTTCCATGAGTTCAAGACGTTCGGATCATCAACAAGAAGCAAACTCAACGCGAGTATTCGAGGGAGGCATCTCATCACTACCGTGAAGAACCTAGACTTAAACAAAAGGGAGGATCTCCACCGATCTTCTTCTCTTTTGTAATTAGGAAAATCAAATTGTAATCAAGATTGAGAGGGTTGTAAACATTCTTTTCTAAATAGTTGGAAAGAATAAATTAAATTCAATTCTTTTACTTTTTTGTTATAAATTTTCT